AGTTATAAATTTTTTGAAGTGCACACGACCTTTTTGGATACATATATATATATATATATATATATATATATATATATATATATATATATATATATATAAAAAGTGAACATTAAGTCAACACTGTGAGGCAACAGGCTGTTTCAATGCAGTCATTGCGAATGCTGGATATTTCCTTTTTAAATATATATGGGTCAGTGGTGCATTGTGGTTTATTCGGTGGTTTTTGCAGGTTTTTTTTGTTTATTTATTTTTTCATTTTTTTTTTCACTCTTCTGTCAAGTTCACCCCATTCTGGGGGTGGCTTCAAATTTTTGAACTGTCTTGCATATATATATATATATATATATATATATATATATATATATAGTGAGAGAGAGAGAGAGAGAAAAAGTGAGAGGGAGAGAGAGTGATATATATATATATAGATAGATAGATAGATAGATAGATAGATAGATAGATAGATAGATAGATAGATTGTTTTCAGGCTGAAGATTGTGTTCAAGCATGAAACAGATCACATGAAGTTGACCTCAGTGTCCACTTATAAAGATATACATATATGTATATATATGTGTGTGTGGGTGTGGGGGTTGTTTGTCTGTGAGTATGAATTGGGATCAAATATAGCCCATATATGAATCGGTATCTGACAGACTAATAGCTTAGTTCTTTGATTTTGTTTAGCGGCATATCAACCTTTATGGTTTATTTAATGCCGAAATCTAAATATTTTGCATGTAATTTTATGTTTTCAGTGTAAGGTTCTGCTGCTTTTTAAGAATTATAGGTTTTAGATCATAGAATGTATCTTTGGTCATTTTAATATAAAAATGTATCTTTTATATTTTTTGTTGTGTTGCATTGGTTATCATTTTGCTATAAAAATGTATTGTAGTCATTTTATTATAAATGTAAAAAATGTATATGCTATATATATATATATATATATATATATATATATATATATATATATATATATATATATGTATGTATGTATGTATATATTAGTGAAAAACTTTTAATACATTATTCATCATACAGGATTGATTGTTTTTATTTGATGAGCTTTGACATCAAGACTATCAAAACTTACTAATTATTAAATCCAGTGGGTTGCTTTCAAACTTTTGGCTTATATATATATATATATATATATATATATATATATATATATATATATATGTATATGTATATGTATATATATATATATATAATACTAATAATCTTATAAATATAAGCAGCTATACTCGTCTGGCAAAACCTTAGATGTTTGAGCTTTTAAATGAATAAACCAATACTCAAGGGAAAAGAAAGAACTAAGAACATGTACTTCTGGTAAAAACAATCGTCTAGAATCTAAGTTCAGAATCAAAAGAAAAAAACCTCCGACATGAGTAAAGTAATATATATATATATATATATATATATATATATATATTAGCAACAATTTCTAATATATTATTCAACATCTAGGGCTGAGTGCATTTAATCTGATGAACTTTGACATCAAAATAATCTATTCAAAATAAATATGAATCCAGCATTAAGAAGAAATGTTTGAGACTTTCTCAAATGCATGGATATAAACACATACAATCACATTAGCAGACATAGATACAATACTTAAGTTTCTTTGTATGTTTATGGAAAATATTTTCTGTAAGAAATGTTTTCCTGATCCAATGTGTGCTGCATTTACTTTAATTGAATGACACTTTTAGAAAATGCATCTGATGTTTATGGTAAATTGGCTGGGATTAAAAGTGGCAGGATTTATGTCAATGACATTTGAAAACAAATATTAAAAGAATGAAAAATGAATCAACCAAAATAATCAAATCCCCAAAGAATGGCAGTTAATTTGATTCCAATAGACTGCAGGACAACACAGTACGACAGACATATAGGGAAGAGAGAGAGAAAGAAAAAGAATCATAATAATAAAGTTCTTACTTTAAGAAATTATTTTTTTTATTTAATTTTTAGACATTAATTTTCCCAAAATTCATTATGATCATTGTTTTTGTTATATTCTTGATTCTTTCCGTCCTCATTCCTGAGGGTCAGGAACCTTGAATTAGTTTTGAATTCATAGATAACCTCTAAAAAAGTCAGCTCTGTTATTTAACCTAAACATGTAAAATGTGTATGATTGAGATTGGAGAAAAAAAAGTGACATTGACGAGTTCAAATTCCTCTTCTGATCATTACCCAGAAGCTGCAATTTATTTGCCCTACATGTATGGTTCTCATTGGAAAAATGGAACATTGGCCCTTTTCAAATACCCTTCTGACCAATAACAAGTTGCTGGTATTTGAGGTAAATCTCTTTTGCCCTAAGTCTATAATTCGGATTGTAAAAATCAATGATATTGCCACCTTCTGACCGTTACCCAGGAGTTGGCTTTTGATCTGCAACTCATTTCTGCTACATATGATTTGGAATGGAAAAAAGAGATATTGACAAGTTCAAAACCCTTTTGTGGTCATTACAAAGAAAGTGGCATTTGAGCGGCAACACATTTGCCTTACATATATTATTCTTATTGGGAAAAAATGTCATTGGCAAGATCCAAATCCTCTTCTGACCATTACCCAGAAACCATTTAGAATTTGACATTTTCTCATTGAGTTGCAATTCCAAATTTTGACATTACCAAATGTGACATTTGATAATTGAACATATATGATACTTATTTTTAAAAAAGTGACATTGACGTGTTCCAAATCCTCTACTGATCATAACTCAGAAGCTGCTGTTTGAGCTGCAACTCTATTGCTCTATGTGTATGGCTCTCATTGGAAAAAAACGGGACATTGATGAGTTTCAAATCCCATTCTAATCAATACCGTGAAACTGAAATTTTTGCCCTATATGTAAGATTCTCACTGGAAAAAAGTGACACTGGCAATTTCCAGATCTTTTTCTGCCCATTATCCAGGAGCTGACATTTGAGCTGCAAATCACTTGCCTTACAAGTATGAATTTCATCGGTAAAATGTGATAATTGCAAGTTCCAAATCCTCTTCTGACCATTACCCAGAAGTTGGCATTTGATCTGCTACTTATTTTCCCTATGTGTATGACTCTCGTTTGAAAAAAAATGACATTGGCAAGTTCCAGATCTTCTTCTGAATAATACCATGAAGCTAGCATCTGAGCTGCAACTTTCTTGCCTTATATGTATGATTTTCATTGGAAAAAAAGTGCCATTGATGAGGTCAAAACCATCCTCTGACCATTACTCAAAAACTAGCATTTGAGCTGCAACTCATTTGCACTATATATATGATTCTCATTGGAAAATATAATAACATTAGCAAGTTCCAAATTCTCTTGTGACCATTAACCAGAATGTGGCATTTGAGTTGCAATTCCTTTGCCCCACATATATGATTCTCATTGGAAAAAAGTGATATTGGCGAGTTCCAAGTCCTCTTCTGAACAATACACAGAAGTTGGCATTTGAGGTGCAACACATTTTCCTAACATATCTGATTCTTATTGAAAGAAAGTGATATAGGCAAGTTCTAAAACATCATCTGACCATTATCTAGAAGGTGGCATTTGAGCTGCAATCCTTTTGTCCGACATATATGATTCTCATTGGAAAAAATTACTGACATTGTTGAGTCCAAAATCCTCTTCTGACAATTACCGAGAAGCTGCCATTTGAACCCAGAGCTGGGTAGAAGAGACAGATTTATACCTTTTGCAAGGGTATTTTTGCATAAGTGGACATAACGAACTTAGCTGGAATTTGAACACTGCTTATCAGTATCTCATTCCAAGCTGGTATCCATTACACCACTATCTGTCTGAGATGAGGTGTTATGTACACTATTTACATTATTCAGACTATTGTCCTCATCTTTGTTGCCATATTTATCACAACGTTTCGGCTGTTGTATGCTCTATCCTTCTTCAGGACACATGGCACATGGGGTAAAGGCGTTGGTTAGATCCAGTGACAGGACCCAAAGAGTTCAATACCTGGTTAAGGCAGTGGAGAACTTAGATGAATTAACAGAAGATAACTGATAACTGACATCCATTAGACATGGCACGTGGAACTAGAACAGTCTACCCCTGCGAGCAAAATAAAAGGTTCTGTTTGATATTCCAACTACCTAAAGAAGGTCAGAGTGTACAACGGCTGAAACGTTGTGATAAATATGGCAACAAAGATGAGGACAATAGTCTGAATAATATAAATAGTGTACAATTACATCAGCCACACATTTATTAAAGATGCAAAAATTTTATATTTCATAATTGATCCTAGTCCTTATTTTCCTTTCAAATGTTAAAATCCAGACAAGGATTTCAACTGATCAAAGAATTCATCTCTCAAGAAAAACTGCATGTTTCTTCCTAAATATATATATATATATATATTATGCTTAAGCAGACATTTTCTCTTTTGGCTTTCTTTCAGACAAGCAAATAGAAACCATGTGATTAACAAATATTTTCACAAATCATTTTATCAGGAGTTTTAATAAAATGATTGACAATGCTTTCATTGTTTTTCAAGACAAAAACTGAGAGAAATTTTGTTTTAAAAAAAATTATTTTTCCTCATTCATTCTGACATGGTTTTGGATGCGTCTTTTCTATTCTTTTGAATGAACTAGCTGAACATTTTTTAACCTTTGGATCAACAGCCGCCATAATATTGATACAAGCTTCGAGATATGTAAACACACTTGAGATGTATTTACTTTCTCAGTTTAATGATTTATTGCAATTGTTAAACAAAATATAATCAATACCCCTCAAGTGTTATTAAATGGGAAAAAGAAAATGGTAGTCAATTTGCCTTCTGCTTTCATAGGACAGCATGGAAATTGAAAAAGAAAGGAAATAAAAATTTAAAAAAAAACATCAAACCATGAAAATTTCACAATAATTTTCGTTTTTTTATAATAATTCATTCGGTTCGAGGATATTTCATTTAAAAAGAAACATATTTCATAATTCTGTTGTAAATATAATATTAAAGAGAAAAAGAACTGAATAGGCGTAATGAGAGAGAGGGCAGTAAAAATGGAAAGAAAGTGAGAGGGAGAAATACAAAAGTTGAGAGAGAGAGAGATTGAAAAGGAAAGAGACTGGGAAAGAGAAGGGAAGAGAGCTGTTTGAAAAAGAGGGCGAGAGACAAAAGGATGGTGAGGGATTGGGCGAAACCTTTAGGAAGAGGGAAAAAAGATACAGTGGGAGAGGGAGAGATTGTTAGAAAAGGAGAGAGATTGAGGAAGAGAAATTCCAAGCAAAAGAGATTGAGGAGGGTAAATAAATTAAGAGACAGAGATAGAGAAAAAGATTGAGAGAAAGGGAGAGTATAGAAAGAAGAAGAGAAATTGAGAGAGAGGAAATGAAATTGAGAGGGAGAGAGTGAGAGATTGAGAGAAAGGCAGAAAGATTGTGAAAGAGGAAGTGTAATTCAGAGATTGGTAGAGACTGAGAGGGTGGTAGAGATTGCTCGAGAAAGGCAAAAATATTGAGAGAGAGAAATTGAGAGAGAGGGTGAGATTGAGAGCATGGGTGAAAAAATAAGAAAGTTGAGGAGAAATTAAAAGAGTGGGAGAGATTGAGAGAGGGAGGAAAATAAACTGAGAGGAAGGGAGAGAAATTGAGAAAAAGAGAGAGAGAGAGAGTTCTCATTGATTCACCGGATGTCAAAGTGAAACTTATATAGGTCTGAATATTTCCATGATGTCATTATACAATGGCACCTTCTATCGTTACTTTTACGTACTGCTAATTCATGACATTTAGCATGTCAGATTTTATTATGTAAGTCGATGTTTTCACTTTAAAATTGGTGTTAACCAATCGATATTGGTAAAACTTTAAGACTATACTCATATTAATATTTTATATATAGACTTAGAACTTATTAATATTATGATTAAATTCTCTGCCAGAATCTTAACGGTGTTCTTCCTGCTATAACTACCACTGCTGTTTGATCATCCCAGAAACACTATTTGCATTTCAGCATATCTTTTTTGTGCAACATACACCTCCCCTTCTCGGATATGCGAATGGTGTAATGGAGAGCTGCTTGAAAACTTAATTTGGTAAACTGGTTTTGTATTCCTGTCAAGTTCATTGCATTCACTTAAGGAACAAATATGTCTGAGAAAGGTAAAAATTCATCACTTTTCCTCCCAGGTATGGGTTAAATATCAGTACTTGTATCTAGAAAAATCATTGTTATCTCCCCAAAATTTTTTAATGAACACTTGCAAAAAATACATTATTCATACAATCTTCAAAATATCTATTTTGGCCTTAAATAACTCTCAAAGGGTTGATAAACCATAAAAATTCAAATCAAAATGTCTTCCTTCCAACAAGTAACATCTATATAATAAATGCAAATATCAGTGTGTCACACTTTTTTAGCTTTACTCCTTGAGGCCGTAGCCCAACATATCATACCATTTTCGAATCAAGCCAACCCCATCAGCAAATTAAAAGCATTCTGGGCACATCTGGACTTAAATTTGTTAATACACACTTGCAAAAAATACATTATTCATTCAATCCTCAAAATATATGTTTCAATAACTCTCAAAGGGTTGATAAACCATAAAAATTCAAATCAAAATGTCTTCCCACAAGTAACAACTATATAATAAATGCAAATATCAGTGTGTCTTACTTTGTCAACTTTACTCCTAGAGACAAATTTTTTGGTATGATAACAATTTTCATAACTTGGAAATAAATTTGGGAATAAACAAAATTAATTGCAAAATCCAACAAAAGTCACGCATGAAATAAAAATAATTCTTTGTACAGAACATAAGTACTTATGTACATCAAATTGTCTTTAACTTAATTGGTGACAGAAGAATTATTTTTGAACTTTTAAAAGGTAAGCTTAAATATTAATGCAATACTTAAATGCAGCGAACTGTTTTGAGTTCTTCTGTAGATTACTGTTGCCTATCACATCTATTCCTCCCTACCTATTGTGGTGAAGGCCCAATCAAGAGCTTTTTGTAAGAGATAGCTTAAATGCTGCCCAATAGGGTAGCTTTTAGCCTATTATTTTTTAATTTTTAGTAATCTCCATTTTGTCTCAGTGCTGATGACTGAAAGAAAAAGGTTTTCCTGTCAATAAATGAAGAACTTATGATAAGGGAATATCAGAAGAAAAAACATGAACACTATTTACATTATTCCGACCATTGTCCTCATCTTTGTCGCCATATCTACTACAACATTTTGGCTGTTGTATGCTCTGGCCTTTTTCAGGTGGTTGGAATGTTGAACTGAACCCTTTATGTTGCTCACTGGGGTAGACTGTTCTAGTTCCACATGCCATGTTTAATGGATGTCAGTTATCAGTTATCTCCTGTTAATTCCCCTCTCCAAGTTCTCCACTGCCTAAACTGGGTATTGAACTCACACTGCTTGGGTCCTGTCCAATGCCTTTATCCACTGTGCCATGTGTCCTTGAGAAATGTTGTAATAAATATGGCAACAAAGATGAGGACAATAGTCTGAATAATGTAAATAGTGTACATAATACCTCATCTCAGAAATATGGAGAGATAAAAAACATGAAATTCCAAATTTAGGATTACCAAAAGTTTATGGTGTTTCATTATATCAATTGATTCACCTTGACAAAAATAGAAAATCTTATTAAAAAATATATATATAATTGTTAGAATTCCGAGCTTGGAATTTGCTTCTAATTATATGCTTATATATTTACACTCAAATCACACTGAAAGCACTAGTTCTGATTCAATCACCAGTCAAGTAGCATCAAGCTTGGTCAGTACTTAGGTGGGGTCTGGTGAGAAACAGGGGGTACTGTAATTGACCTCCGACAATCGAAATATGTTTCAACTTTAAATAGCACACTTAATCGTTGATAGGCCCTAAAAAAAAATATTGGTCAATCAATTCTATTTGTATCAAGAAATAAACTTTAATTAAGTGGAACATTGACAAAATCAGTCAAAATTCTACCTGATTTTATCATGCAAGTCAAGGTTTTCACAATAAATTTAATATTGTGTTGGCAAAGTTTTTGAGATATACACATATGAATTAATATGATAAATATACCCTGCAAATTTCAATAATTTATTTTCACAGTAAGCCATCATATGTTAGCAAAGTTTTCAGTATATATATATATATATATATATATATATATATATATATATATATATTGAATCCATTGCTAGATCTGCTGGTAAGAAAGTTGGTTCACTGTGTTGTGCAAGACAATTTTTCTTTCTTGATTCTGTCTTAGATATCTATAAGTCTACCATTCTCTTATGACTGGAATATTGCTGCCACATATGGTCCTGTGCTACTGCTACATATTTAAAAATTCTTGATAACATCAAAAGAAGAATCAGCAATATAATCGGTCCTGACCTGGCATCTCGTCTTAAGTCACTTCTCACTGTTATAAAGTTGCTTCCCTGTAGCTTTTCTATAAATACTTTCATGGTAAATTTTCAGATGAGCTATTTGCCTAGACTTTGTGAATTTAAATGCGGTACTAGATTGGCAACAAGTTCTTATCAATTTATAGTTGAATTGGCAGCTAGATGTAACAGTAAATTCTATGTTAAGTTTCTTGCACTTCTTGTCTGTAGAGCTCTCTTTCTGGCCAACTTTGATATTCAAAAATTTAAGAGCAATATCAGCCATTATCTGTGGTTTTCCTGATTACTCTACTCTTGTTCTTGCTCCTTAATAATGTTTCTTTTTTCTAATTCTGTCACATGCAGTAACCCCCCCCTTCTGTTTTAGTGGCTTTACTGCCTTTATTGTGGTAAATTTGTTTGAAAAAACAAAACAAAAAAAAATAAACTATTAAGATCTAAATAAGTAGTAGTTAAAATTCATTTCAATAGGAGTTGATGGGCAAATACACACTTTTTTTTCACTCACTGTTAGACCTCTCTCTCTCTCTCATATATATATATATATATATATATATATATATATATATATATATATATATATATATATACGCACACACACAACTTTGGAAAGATAATGAGATGTAAGCTGATAGATAATTCCATTTTTTTAATAGGTGCCAGTCTATTTTTAGGAGATGATGCAATTCTGGTTAACCTTCTTGACTGACATGAAATGGAAAGACTACATTGAATCCATTGCTAGGTTGGCTGCTAAGAAAGTTTGTTCACTATATCATGCTAGACAATATGATCCTATGCTCCTGTTGTATATTTGGTGATTCTTGATAAAATCCAAAAGAGAATCAGCAATATTATTGGTCCTGACCTTACATCTCAGCTTCAATTGCTTCTCACTGCCATAAAGTTGCTTCCCTGTGCTTTTTCTATAAATACTTTCATGGTAATTGTTCAGATGAGCTCTTTGCCTACACTTTGTGAATTTAAGTGCAGTACTAGATTGGCAACAAGGTCTTATCAATTTATAGTTGAATTGGCAGCTAGATGTAACAGTAAGTTCTATGCTAAGTTTCTTGCACTTCTTGTTTGTAGAGCTCTTTTTCTGGCCAACTTTGATATTCAAAAATTCTTGATAATATCCAAAGAAGAATCAGTAATATAATTGGTCCTGACCTGGCATCTCATCTTAAATCGCTTCTCACAGCTTCCCTGTAGCTTTTCTATAAATACTTTCATGATAATTGTTCAGATGAACTCTTTGCCTAGACTTCTGTTTTAGTGGCTTTACTGTCTTGATTGTAGTAAATTTGTTTGAAAAAACAAAAAAAAAAAAAATTACACCATTAAGATCTTTTTAGATTTTAAGATTTTTGAGATAATAATGATTTACTCATACAAGTCCTACTAAATAGCCCATAGCTGGGGAGCAGAAGAGAGTATTTGCGGATAAGAGAATATATCAGACCCAACTGGAATTGGAACTCAGATCTCCAATTTAAAATTCTGAGCCATTATGCATTACACCACCTCCACATCCAACATTTTAGCCAGTGTGCCTTCCAGCCATCATTAGGTTTATATCAATCCGTATAACCTGCATGGAATTCAAAACTAAACCCTTTATTTAATATATGGGGGCAGGCAGCTCTCATTTCACTGCCCATGTGTAGTTCTTATTTTTAGTATTTCTTCTATTGCAGTTATTGATCACCCTGTTTCCACTGAATCCAAGTATACACTGCCTGGCTCAGGGATTGAACTCAGAATTCTAACTTTCACTCATGCTGAGAATATTGCTGACACATATGGTCTGGTGTTACTGTTTTATATTTAGAGATCCTTGATAATATCCAAGGAAGAATCTGCAATGTTATTGGTTCTAACCTGGCATCTTGACTTCAGTCCCTTTCTTACTGGTGTAAATTTCCCTCCCTGTGCCTTTTCTGCAAATATTTTCATGGTAAGTGTTTGGAAGGGCTCTATGCTATGGTACCTAAACTTTATGAATTTAAGCACAGTACTAGATTGGCAATAAGCTCTCCTAAATGGATGTAACCATAAGTTCTATGCGAACAGTTTCTTTTCTCCAATGTTAATCATTATCTACTGTTTTCCTAATTAATCTTTTATTGTTTTTAATGTTTCAGTTTTCTAATTTCACACTCAGCAACTACTTGTGTCTTAGTGGCTTTACTGTCTTTCATGGAGTGAATTCAATTAATACATATATATATATAT